GCTGCCCCAGCCCAGCTTAATAGGGTACTTGTCTAGACAGCATTAAGCATATCTGCACTTATGTGTGTCTGGTTTTAACAGCCAGGTGTGCAGAAGGTGTGGTGGAGGGAAGGGAGGGAAGAGAAAGGGAATGGGAAAGACTAAAACCATTTCAGAAGTCCTCAAGGTTTACATGAGACTGCTTTTTAATTCTAGGGCCTTGCCTGTGTTGCAATGTTAAAGGGTGCTCATCGTTCAGTACGCACAGGTGTACAGTTGTACATGAAAGAACGTCAAATTGGCCTAAAACTGACTTGAGTAAGGGACATCACAGCATGTGAGCTCCTCCGGAGGAGAGGTGTCCCTTAGGGCAGAGGTGCATTTCCCCCAGGGAGAGCGCAACGTGTCTGTGACTGTGACTGAGCAAGGTCAGCAGCAGATCACCTCCCTCCCAGCTCTGGTTCAGATCTGCTGACTGAGTCACGGCGACAACAGAATAAAGCGCAGAGCACTCCCCCGTACTGCCCACCTCCTCGTCCTGGGAGGTCTGCCGCGGGAAGGAGATACCTTCCCTACAGACAGTGGAGCAACTGAGCCTGTGCAGACTGAGATGAGAGCGCCTCATGACTTCCTCCGGGCACAGTCTCTGCAAGAGCTGATTCACCAAAATGTGGCATTTCAGCCATCCTGAAACTTCTGTGAATACGTGCCCAGTTTAGCAAGGACTTTCAGTACTTTAAATCCAAGAAAAATAAATTATTTCAGCATTAGCTTCACAGTGAAAGAGGGCACAGCTTGACGGCTAGAATGGTGAGTTAGGATATGGGAGACCCAGATTTGATTTTCTTGCGTTCCCTCCTCCCAGCAAATGTCTCAACCAGCATGCTACAGCATGTTTTGGCACACTGAACTGTCAGTGCGCATTTTTTGAGTCTGTAAGCACACACTAGAACGGGGTCCCGCTGACATCCAGACAGTGACCAACCTGAGCCTGTCGAACAAACATCCTAGCCCCCAGACTTAGAACTATCCTAAAGCGAGTAGCCCTCAACCTTTCTTGTTTCCACTTTGCATGAACCACACAAATATTCAGTGAGCCATAAGGAATGAATATTGGGACATTCTCCTGGAAGACAGAGGGCAAAATCCCCAACAGAAATAAGATTTGAAGCAGGCTTCCTGCTGCTGAAAGTGGGAAGCAACAGCATGAATCTAACCTTTCATTCCTATTTATTAATTTTCTGTGGGAGACTAAAAACATATACTTATATCAAAGTGAAAACACTTATATACAAGCTAAACTAAGTAAACCTATTAGGGGACAAGAATGGTGAGAAGGCAGTGGAGAAAAGCAAAGCAAAGCAAAGTGAGGGGGGTCTGAATCTTCATTTTTGCTGAACTAAAAAACACCCAGTTATTCTTACTGCTTGCCAGATGACCCTGATAATCCTAGGTGGGCAAGAGAACATTTTGTAGCTAACATATAATAGGTAAATACCATGCATGCATTCCTATGATGAATACCCTAAATATGAAAGGTGCATGGCACCAGGCTCCACCACTGAATCACTTACACCTGCATACAGCACTTAGCATCATCCTCGGAAAAACCTTGCCAGGAGAAGCACTGTTTACAGTCGTAGGTGTCTGCAGGACTAAACATCTGAATTTCTAATCATAATCTGTTAACTCAGGATTTTTTTAATACTTAACCCCTAATTGTGCCCCTGTTATAAGTTAAAGATAGGAGAAAAGTACATATAAACCAGTCCCACATATAAATTCTGTATTCTAGCCACAATTAATGAATATACTGGTAGATTAAAAAATGCTCTCTCTGATACTTATGTTTTCTTCTTTACCAAGAGAAAAATCATTGCGGTGGATGTTGGCAGACATAGACCTTCCGGTTGGCAGTAGGTAACACAGAAATAGAGAAGTGGCCAGAATCAATTCAGGGCCAACGCCTGCTGGCAAACAGGCTCATCACGGGAAAAGCCAGAGGTGGGTGTTGCAGCTACCTGCGATGCCAATACACACTGTTTGTGTGTTGCAGGGCTGACTCATCGACCAAACAGTTCAAAAAGTGAGCAGATACGGTGAGAAGATACGGTTAAGTTTGCTGGTAGAGACAGGCATTCAGCACGTTCCCGAGGCCACCTCACGTAGACGGACTGTTACTGAATCCACGAGAGAAAGTACTCTTCCAGGGGAAACACTACCACTAGCTCCAAACACTGAGTCCTTATTTGACACACTGTCTGCAGAGTGCAAGCAGATGCAGTTTGCACCTTTCTGAAATACCAAGGGTAGGCTGAGAGCAAAGATTGAAAGTGCCAATTTTTTACCAAAAAAATGCATTAGATGATCATATGTCCAGTCATCTGCCTAGGTCCACCGTAATTTAGCCACTTGCACCTCACACAGCCACCCCAAACTTATGCTTACGAGATCATATCATATATTCATCATATGTTATGTGTCAGCATCCTGCCATAACATTTGCAGATTTATACTACACCCTTTCACGTGTTTACCTCTGCATCGTTCACGTTGAAGCATCTGATCATTCCCTACAGGGACGTTCTTGCAATGCACGTGTTCATTCCATAAATATGAGGAAATGGTAAGTAAAATACCTATGTATTATATTTTATAGTTCAAAAGTATCACTATACTCTATTTTGCTAAGCACACTATCTTGAAAAACAAGCACTTGAGTTCACCACACTACAGTAATGCACCATGGCATGATTTCTACTGATGTGTATAATTATGCTGGCATTGCATCAGCCCCTCCCACCCAAAAGCTCCCTATTATTTTTACATGATAACAACATTATGTCAGCCTGGGCATCCCTGTTAGGTGGACACTGACCAGGAATCTGACATCTGTTTGTCATACCATACTAATAAATCTAATGGCTTGGCATTAGGAAAACCTTTCACTTACCAAATAATCCACCAAAGCCCTAAAATAACAGTATCTACCTGGTGCAAGTCATTTTGCTGCTGCTGTCAAATGAATTACCTGTCGCTGTTTGGAAATGCCTGAATTCTCTGAACCCCAGGATAGGAGCAAACAGTGTTACTTTACTTTGGAGGTGCAATTAAGCCCATGATGAGCTTAATGAGAGCAGTAGCATATAGGGTGTATGTTGCTAGGCATCCGTGGGCAGGGTCCTATCAACTCAGTCCCAGCAGTTACCACAGAGAACTGGCACAGTACCTTCTACTTAAACTTCTCGAGTTTCCTTTGTTTAAACACTCTTGGGAGAACAAAATAGCTTCACAAGAAGACAAGTGCCTAAGCTGAAGCATTCCTTACAACAGCTTAACATTCTCCATCAGGAAATCAGACTGCCGACGAATGCCAATAATTTCTATAACGTAGAAGGGATTGTACATGAGTAAGAATTTAAGCTCAGTGCTAGTATTGCCCCTAGGAAAATTAGCAGCTATGTTTAATAAAGGACGTAACTCACTGACGGAATCCGATTTTTGTGAAATGAAGCCTCATGTTTAATCCTCAACATCACCTCTATTCCTGAGGCTGAGTGAACTACCAGGATACTTCCCGCTCTAACAAAATGTAGAATTAAGTACAGATGAACAGGCATAGTTCAAATTCAGGAAGAATGAAGTCTATTATATATACAGGTGCACCAGAAAGTTTATTGTTTTTCTATCCACAAATTATGTTCAAATGTCCAAAAGAGACTTCTGGCCTGCTGTCCGCTGCTTCTTTCGTGGGGCTCCCAGACATGCAGGAGAGCTGCTGGTGCACAGTGGTGCCTATGCAGTGATACAGCTGTCGTTGTGCACCGGACGTACTGGATATATACTGGGTTTAAGCATTTGCTTTAGGATATTAAGGGCATGTAATGCTGAGCTGGATTGATAAAGGAATATTAGATAACAAGTGCTTTTATTTAATAGTAATGAATAAATATTTTTTTTGTTTCATATAATGTGAAATGTAAATGTAAATAGCTGCTGTTCTTTATCACTATGAGCCATAACATAGCCACTACTGTACTATGCCTTTTACTGTGCAGTAATGTAAATGCAATTGCAATCACTGCATTCTTGAAAAAGGATATCATATTTACCAAAAAGATACGAGCAGAAAAGTAATCCACAGATTACAGCAAGGAAAAAAAACCTCTTGTTAGAAATTTCTTATTCAAAATCATGGACACTGGAACATTGCAAAGTTCTATAGCAAAGTATTTTTTGCTTTTCACTCGATTCACCTTCCAGTGGTCAAAGAAGCCTATGCCCTCAAAACTGTACAACTTACCAGGGAACATAAAAAAAAAACCTCTTTAACTCTTCTGTCTATAAAGTGACAATTTTTTATTTTCACGTTATCATATCCATCTCTGTCCTTGCTTGAGTCAACAGAGTTTTGCAATACTTGCAAAGAATCTTCAAGCTACCATGTTCTTTAGCTTTGCAGCTTTTCTGATGTAATGTACATTTGCTAATTTTTTCTTCTTTGTGCACTTACTGCAGCTTTCATCTTGCCAAACCCTATCGTGGAAGTATCATTAAAATGGCAGCTGGGCTAAGGGGCATAATAGAAGGGAGAAGGGAGTGCTGGATGCCTTGAGAATGTCGCTGGTGTACAGTTTTATCAAATAAATATTCATAAAGTTGTCCTGATAAAAATCACAGGCCTAAACCCAATTTCACCAGCATAATGGGCATTGACTTTGGTGGGAGGAGGATTTGGTCCATCTGTATGTTTTTACTGACCATATTGAGCATATGCACAAAGCATTTCAAGTAGTTTTCAGAGACTGACATCTTTTTTCTGTAAACTTTTTACATTTGCTCAACTATGCCTCTGTTGTGCTTAGCTTGAAAAAACAATTCTCAGTTAGAAGAACGCTCAGGCAAACTGTAAAACCACCAAACGTTAGCATGTGCCAGCTGAAGTAGTAAAACAGTACTTGGGATAGATACTACTTAATTATAAGTAACAGAAACATTACCTAATTTCTGCTCTAATGTAAAGAGCTGCAAATCTTCCACAGCACAGTCCTTAGGGTCAGATTCTTGTTCCAGCTGTATCCAGGCAAATCCTGGAAAAGAGAGGAAGTGCTGTGCAAGGGTAATTGAAGTTTTTGCTCTTTATTTTGCTACAGCTATCACTGCAGTGTTTTTTAGATTTGCATTGTGAACTTCATCTCACACATACATAACAGTGAAGAGGCTACTGCCATCTATACGTAGTCCCAGCGCTGTGACAAACTCCCTTCCAGGCTGTGCTGGAACGCCATAGACCTAACGTGCCATAACTGAAACGTGTGCTCTTCCTACCTGTGAGCCAAATGCTGATTCAGCCCTAATTATATTAAATAAAATACATGAAACAATCGCAGAAGGAAACCTGTTTCACGTAGGCCTATGGCAGCATAAGCCATCTACAGTCTGGCACCTCCAGGGACAGTGGTCTGCAGAAAAGCCAAAACGGGCCTTCCCATCATCTTATTTGCTGTTTCACCCCCCATGCTTCTACCACAGTCTCCTCTGGAGAAGGAGGCCTGAAGTTTATCTCTCCCTCCAGCAGCAGAACCCCGAGGCTGAATGTCCCTTCTGGCACGCTGGTTCTCAGGGTAGGCTCAACACACAGGGCAGAAGCTGGCTTTTATATTTCTATTTTAGTTTCAGCAGCAGCATTAATAAACCATGGCAGCTTGCCCTCATTCCAGTTCAGTGGCAGCCTTATTATACAATGTACTTTGATGTACAATAGTCTTCATTTGATATCAGATTGGGAGACAAAATCATACTGCAATGCAGAAACTGATAATTTATCTCACTGTGACATAGGAGCATCAGGGTCCCAGTTAAAATGTGTGTATGTGCTCATTATATACTGGACTTTTTACAGGAAACTTTTTTTTTTTAAACTGGTATTTGAAATTTAATGCAATAGATCTCTTGGTAATTGTGCAGGTTTGCCTCTGTAGTTTCAGTAGCAGTCCGGCCCTTCAGCATATTATTTATGGAAAGAAGGGGAAAATGCCAAAGGGAAAAAGGCCGAAGCCTGAGTATGGCTCGAGTGAAACGTTGAGTAACGGCTACAGGATCTGACATTCTCTCAGAAATGAAATCCTAAGCCTTACCAGTTTCTTTAGGGTCAGTCCTGTTAGAGGGGGAGCATTTTGTTTTCAGTGCTCCCTGAGAAATTGAAGATGTTCCCTGAACAGCACCGAAGACTGAGCCCTCAGTTCACTGAAGACCTTGAGGGGAAATCAAATAAACTTAAAAACAGAAGTGATAAAAATATCTTCCTGAAGAGTAAGATTTAATCAGTAGATTAAACTAACCCCAAAACTAACCCAAACTAACTAACTAACTAACCCATCAACTAACTAACCCAAAACAGACTTTACTTTTAATACAGAAATATTTCACTATTCAGCCTTTCTGGCTAGGAAAGCATTTGAGTATCTAGGTTAAACTGGAACTGTTCAGCCACCTTAACCAGGGACCACAGAACACTGTATATCAAAATTCAGACAGATTTATCATTTCAAGAACATCTAAAACCAAGGCAATGGGGGGGAAATTAAGATAAGAGAGACCTTTTTTCCTTACTATGTTAGCAAAACCAGCCAGAGATTCAGCCAACAAGATCTCAGTGTTCCCAAAGGGATTTACACCAAGAGAATGAACCTAGATTCAGATTTATGTGAAAAAAACAGGGTAAAGTGTGTGCCTTGCCCACGTATGATGCCGAGATAATTCTAAGAATTAAAATGCACGTTTCTTTATTAAGCTGCCTTGCATGCTCAGAGAACGTGGCTTATCGGTTAGCTTTGTTCATGTGCTCCTGTCACATTACTTAGAGAAACACTGCTCCATAGCACAGCACCACCCTCCACCCCAAATAACACCACTTCGTGAGCATTCAGGCCTGACTGCCTTTTTTTGTATATTAATGAAAGCCACTGGTATGAAGGGTGTAATTAAACATACGGGGTCCTGAATATGCCTATGCGTTCTTAGTGGGGGAGAACAGAAGAGCTGTGAAATGAGGGTCTGCTTGGTATGCTGGGTGTGCAGCAACCAGCTAGCCATGCCTGCTTCCCTTCGCTCGCAAAATGCCTCTGCGCTCAGATACTGAAATTTGATTTCCAGAAATGGCATATGCCAGTTTTCACTGACCTTTTGACAAGGTGGATATAGTGGCTGAAATGAATACAACACTGTGGCGCACTGGCAAGTATTTGCACCTTATTCGATCAGGCAAAATAAACAACTGGATTCCTAACTTGAATCATATAAAGGGTCAAAGAGTGAGGTTACCATAAGCAAGCAGCCGTATTGGCAACTGGGATGGACACCATCCCTGCCCTGGAAACAGCAGTCCCTTTAAGCCCAGCTGCAAGAGGTGCTAATTCTGAAACTCTACAGACAAATTTGCACAGCCAAAGGAGCTGTGCCTAGAGATGAGATCCTAGAGTCCTACATGCCTTTTTCAGAAGTGCAATTGCAATGCTTTACGCAGCCAAAATTGCTCTTGGAACAGTTTTGCTCACCTGAAACCTTAGCTGTGTGTTAATTCACACGTTGGAAGTCTGCCCTCTGAAGTCTAGCAGACAGGGGATCAGATTATCTTTGGCGTCTAGCTCCCACTGTCTTTTGGCAGAAAGGGGTGGCTGACAGGGAGTTAGTAACAGCACCGTCAATCTCTTTCTAGTCACGGACCCAACAGTGGGTTATACCACAGGAATCACGCCAACTGCTGCTTTGCAAAATAAATCTCACTTTGTCCACTCCCCTCCCTGCACTGCGGTTCAGGAGGGAGAAATCACACTGGATCTATGACCCCTAGGCCCGCTAGGACTCTATCCAAAACAGACATGTCTCCAGGTGGACAGTCCTCACCTTTTATTGAAACAGTTGTGTGTCTGAGAAAATATACAAAGACGACTTCCATCCACCAAAAGACAAAATCAGTCATAAAATGGCATCTGCATTTCCTACTTTCATGCACCTTCAGGGCCACTTTGCTCACAACTCAGAAAAGGAACATCCAAGACTGAAACCACCTGCACATTTTGGTCTATGGGTTTTAACTGGAAAATGTCATGATATTCTGGTGATGGATGGCAATGAAAGGTCCTAAAAACGAAAAATGTTAGACAGAGGACAATAATTGTACTTTGCTAGACCTAGGCTAGACACTTATACAGGACTGAGTGCAAAGTTCCTACATAGCACAATCAAGACCTAAGTTGCATCAGTCCATTCAAATCTTCTCTGTAGTGAGGTGACCACTTCTTTGAGTGTGATGGCAAAGTGGCACACTTTTGCCATTCAGTTTGCCTTCCAGCAGATACAAATATATCATTTACTATTCTCTACGCAGCAACTGTTTTGGGCATTCATCTTGTGGTGCTTTACCAACACTTGCTGCAAATCAGAAGCTGGTAGACTTATCCTCTGCCACCAAGCTCCCCCTGCACCTTATTTCATTACTATACATGTCACCCCTGAAACAATAGGAGATCACAAGAGAGCATTTGACTTCCAAAGACCAGGCTTGCAAAACTAATGTCAAATACCTTGTTATACAGCTTACTGTATGTGGCATCATGAAGGCAGACCAAGGAGCGCAACACCAATTATTTACTTGAACTACTCCAGTGAGGTTGGTTGATTTTTTTCTCACAGTTCATAAAAAGTATCTAAGGAGAAAGGGAGTAGTGGTCTGTAAAATGTATTGCCAATTTGTGCTCTTATCTGCAATACTAACATGGTACTGCCTGATCCAGTATTCAGTGGAAAACAATTTCTCTGGAAAGAGTTTTATATTGCTGTGGGATTAGTGCCAGAGCAGGATGTCAGCTTAGGCAACAGAACCTTGAATCCAGCGTTGCTGTCATGAATTCTTGCTGGAGGATGCTCCATTAGGCTTTGAATTCTGAAGCACTGCAGAACTGCCAACTCTTACTCACCTTCAGTGAGATTCAATCATTCATTACTTTGTATGTCACACTTCTTTGATAATGGATCTCAGTAAAAAATTTATGAGCAACTCCACACATCCATAGGAAAGTCTCACTTCCCTTGAAGCTAATTTTATAACCCTGCGTAAAAGAAGCTGGCAATGAGATCTTTAGTAAAGGAGTTCTGGATCCTTTTATTATTACTGGAAGTATAGTTAAGGGAAGAAGAGCCCATCTGGACGATATTTTTGCCAGCCTTCCATCATATGGTGACACACAATTGCCGACATCTACATTCGTGTTTAAAATTCTGATATTTCTTTCCCTTTTCCTCTCCGTTAAATTATATCCCAAGGAAGAATCCCGAATCAATGTCTGAACTTTTGTGGAACGGCTGTATACAGCAATAACTTGTGCTTCCACAAGAATCCCGTTTTTTCCCCTTTGGATCTTAAGGGACAACGTCGTTTTCAGGAACGAAGACTAATGAGAAGTGGTGAAGATAGAAATGCTTACCACTGCTTTTGCTAAACAAAAACCAGTTTTCACTCTCTCCGACCAGGTTAGAAAGCCAGACTTACCAGAAGCAGTGTATTTTGAATAAAGCATTGTGTCAAAAGCGTGACTTAATAAAGTCACTTGTAGAGAGGACTTTGTGTGTTAGTTGGCAAAAGAGGGTTAGAACTTGTCAGTTCAGCTAGTAGTTCAGATTCAGCCTAGCTATTCAAAATGTACATGCTGTTGAAAAAGGATAAGTGAACGCAGCATGATGGCCTCAGCCTGATTTCAGTTGTATCAGATAACAGAACTGGGGCCTGGCTACCCTATTTTGAAGACAGGTAAATGCAGCAATTGTGAATCATGCTGTATTAGCCTGGCAGAGCACAGTCTGTCTAACTACACCCTCAGAAGGAGCTTGTGCACCTCCCATCCCCAGACAGTAACACTGTCAGCAGCTTCCCCATCAATACCCTTCAACTCCGACTTACAACAACCATTACCAGCTGCTCAGTTTTTGTTATATTACCACTAATACTCTCAACAAGACTCAGTCACGGCCAAATCTTTAGTATCAACCAGAGTTGCATGGTCCAAGGGGAGACCAGGGTTCCTAGAGGAAT